TCGTAGGTCTTCAGATTTTCAACCAGTTCTTCTATGGTCAGCTCCTGCAGGTCCTTTGATTCATTAATAGCATTCACCTTGCTTTCCCAAGGGCTGGATCCCAACCTAGAACTTTGTGATCTCAAGGTCTTGTAGATGTGTAACAGGTTCCTTATCTGGTTCTGAATGGTAAGTTTGTTAGATCATCAAAACATAAAGTAAAGTACTTATGCCCAAGATACTTGTAACCTATCAAATACCTTTATCTCTAAACTTTGTATCCTATCTTTGAATTTTATTTCTTTTGGAACTTCTCTCTTATTATTATTATCAAGAAAGTTTGAAATCTTTATGAAAATTATGAAGCTAGGTGATTTAGGTTTTATATATATATATATATATATATATATATATATATATGTTGGCAATCCGCTAGGCAAGTGCCTAGGGCTAGTTTTTATTTATATAAAATATGAAAAAAACAATAAAGTGCCTTAATGTTCTACGAAATGTAAAGAATAAACCTTGGAGATTACATGTACCCTATTATCAAAGTTGAGTAGTGTCTCAAAGTTGATATCACAACAACACTACTAAAAATTATATAATAAAAAACTAGTCCATGAATGGATCCGTGATTCATTTAAAGTCCATTCCATTTGTGTGGCATTGTAGCCCATATCTGGTGGGCTAATTAGATTCACCCGTTTCCATTGCATTGAAGCCCAAGTTTGTCTTCTTACTTCGAATTGGCCCTTTTGTCAAATGTAACACCATTGCATAGGCGTGCATTTGTTCTGTCGAGCATTTTGCAATAACTTAGCATCTTGTAACGTTTAAATTTTCAAGAGACACAGTCTGCCCAAAGCTTAGTCCCTCCAGGCGTGCATGTGCTGCTTTGCACGTTACCATGTGTGCATGTGCATCATTAATCTTTTGACCCAGACGTGCCCAATTGAGGTCCTCATTGTCTTCCCCAAGTGATTAAACAATTATCAATGCTGGTTCCTCCCATGTGCAGCCATTTTGAACGATTTTGCACCATGGTTTTTTGAACAAATAAATGTGCAAATTATCCATTGTTTTCCACCATAAGCATGTGCTTTCCTTTGAAAAAAGAGCTGCTGCATTTGGTGCAGGCGTGCACTTTGTGCAATATTTTAATTCCCATACCTCTTGGAATCTCCCCTTGCACTCCCATGGAGACAAACATCTCGAGCTGTGTATACAAAGCAACGTGAAAGCTGTTCACGTGTGAGTTGTGATCTGTATTCCTCGAAAGTGAAAGCTATTCACGCGTGAGCTTTGTGATCAGTGAATCACTTTTAGGATTCCCCATGTGCATGCCTTCCTATTCTATCGAAGAAAAGCTCTCCATTTGTGTCAGATGGAGAAAAAAGTGAAAACTTGCATTGAGCAACTGCATTTTTCCATTTGTTGACTGAAGCCTCCATGCCTCTACGCTCCAGCACGTCTTTAGAGACCAACATGCCCAAACATTACTGTTCCAAGAAGCATGTGTCGAATAAACAATAGTATGCTTGACAATAAAGCTGTCCATAGGAAGTGCTCTTTGATACTTTAGGACAATGGAGGTCAAAGTTAAACCCTTGGTAATTGCCACCACGCCTGAGTTCCTTTTGTTTCTATCGAGTCTGATTCCTCGATTCTTTCCTGTTGCTTATATTTTATTCTGCAAATGAGCACGCTTGTGTCTACCTTCAGCTTTCTGTCCGAAAAATGAGTGTACAACACTAACACTACCAACTTTAAGTCCGTAAGAAAATAGGGCTTTAACACATAATGTGTACCTGCAAGAAAGTAAACAATGTTAGCTTTAAAATTTCTTACCAAACTCTCCTCAAGAATGATTCGAGTATGGTAGAGAATTGTATCCTCTTTTCCTCCTAATTCCTTGCAACCTTCACTCTTATGTAGGGACATTGCATCTTATCTTCATTAATAATCCTCCTTCCTTTTGAGTCCATATCCCAGAAACCATGACATTCAATATTTCCTTCATCTAGAGCATAATTAGCAAGGTGACCTGCTAGTGTATTCCCTTCTCTGAATATGTGTGTGACCTTGAAGATACTTTGTTCCTTCAATCTTAAAATCTCCTCTACATGATCAGTAATATACCAAGGAGGCTTCCATGATTCCTCTAAAATGTTCTTTAGTAGTAGGGAATCTGTCTGCATCCATATATGAAAATAATTAAGATTTTTGCACATCTTCAATGCCTCCACAATAGCTACTGCTTCTGATTCATTATTGGTTCCTTCAGAAATCTCCCTTCCTTCTGCGTATATCAAATCACCTACCTCATCCCTTATGTAGAAACCAATTGAACTCTTCCCTGGGTTCCCTCTACATGCTCCATCCATATTTACTTTGATCCACCCTCTTGGAGGAAATTCCCATAACACCTTTTCATACTTCAATCGAGGTGTGTATTGCTCCATCATTGTCAGTAAGTCCAGCCACTTGTGAGGCACATGCAGTCCAGGCTTTTTTAGTTGGACTAGAGCTTGCAGAGTAGATGACACCTGGTAAATAACTCTGCTCACTGACACTGCTTCTCCATATTTCAAACTGTTTCTTCTCTTCCAAAGTTCTCATACAATGCATGCAGGTAAAACTTGTAAGACTGGCTTCAATCTGGGAACAACTGGTGCTGTCCAACACTTTGGAATTGCTTGTTGTAATGATAACCCTTCTAATGCAATTCCTGCTCTCCTCAGGAAGTAATTCCAAACACTCCTAGCTGCATTGGATGTGAAGAACAAATGTACTAATGAATCCTCCTTAGGATCAGCACAACACCAACATTTAGATGGCATGAAGTATCCTATTTTACGCAAGAAATCATCAAGTGACAGTTTGGCTTTCCACACCTTCCACAGGAAGAAGGATATCTTGAAAGGTAAGCCTTTGACCCATATCATCCTGTAAGCTAATCTTGGTTTGTCTCTTCTTCGCAGGTAATCCCATGCAGACTTCACTGAAAAACGACCTCTTGTTTCAAGCATCCAGAATGGTGTATCTAACTCTGCATATTCGTTTGGTGGTCTAATATTCTGCACAATGTGGTTTGCCAAATCTTCAGGTAGAGTCTGAAATAATTTTTCCAAGTTCCACATACCATTTTCAACCAGATCATTGACATTGTGAATATCCTCATCGATACCAAACTCTGCAGGCACTTCGAAATATAAGGCTCCCAGCTCAGTCCAATTGTCGAACCAGAATTGAGCTGATCCCATTCTCGGTTTCCAGTAGATTTGATGCTCAATCAAGTCCCTACATTCTAGCATTTTTCTCCACACGTTGGATCCACGCTTCCAAGGTACAATTACTGGATTTAGTTTCTTGCAGTACTTTTGACTAATAAATGCACTCCATAAACTGGGCTTTGTCCTGAAATTTCACCACAATTTACAAAATAGTGCCTTGGATACATCATGTAGGGACCTGAAGCCTATGCCTCCCTCCTTATAAGGCATACAAAGGTTAGTCCACGATGATCAATGTCTAGAGTTGCCTCCCACATTGCTGCTCCAGAAGAATTTGGCAAAAATGCTATGTAATTTATTGATCACATAAATTGGTGGATTAACTGTTGACAACATATGAATTGGGATACTCTGCATGACATTTGCGATCAATACAGCTCTGCCTCCTACAGATAGGAGTTTGCCTTTCTACGACTGCAGTTTGTCCATTGCCTTAGTGATTAATCCCTGGTAATAGTCACTCCTTCTTCTTGCATAAAAAATAGGGCAGCTAAGATAGGTCATAGGAAAACATTGTCTTCCTATACCTGTAATCCTTTCAACCTTGTTAATCACCTCATTATCCGTTAATTGATGCAGGTATATGGCATATTTGGCTTTGTTCACCAGTTGACCAGACGATGATTCATAAGCTTGCAAAACCTCCATGACAAGTCTCAGTGAAGTTTCATCAAATGAGGAGAAAATGATTGTAGCATCAACGTATGATAGATGATTTATTTTTGGGCTCCATTTTGGCATTCCAAATCCACAGAAATACAGGTTAGTGTGTAGTGAATTCAATCCCCGAGACATTGCTTCTGCTGCTAGAATGAATAGGGTTGGTGACAAAGGGTCACCCTGCTTAACTCCCCTCGAAGATTTGAAGAAACCATTTGGCTGCCCATTTATAAGAATAGAGTACCAATTATTCCCAATCAAATCAAATATCAATCCAATAAACGCTTCAGGATCTTCCTTAGCATTTTGGTCAGGAATAGCCATGATAGCCTATCGTAAGCTTTTGTCATGTCGAGCTTAATCACAACATTTGGGCCTACTTTTGTTCTCAACCTGATATATGTAATGATTTCTTGAGTTAACAGTACATTCTCAACTATACTTCTTCCCCTCACAAAACCTGTCTGTTCCTGTGAGATTAAGTTTGGTAAAAATTCAATCAACCTTTCATGAATAACCCTCGAGAAAATCTTGTTAACAAAGTTGCTGAGACTGATTGGTCTCATGTCTGCAAAGGTCATCACTTCTTTTTTCTTTGGTAATAAAACTAGGTTTGTGTGTGTCACACTCTTTGGCAATTGCTGACCGCAAAAGAAAGCCCTGACCATGCCGACTACATCTTCTTCAATGGTTTCCCAGCATGTTTGGTAAAAGGCTCCAGTGAAATCATCTGGTCCGCCTGCTGAGTCCCCATTCAACCCCATAACTGCTCTCTTCACTTCTTCATTGGAAGGCAAAGCCATCAATCTCTCATGTTGATCGCTATCTACCATTGAAGGTACATGATTTAGAATATCAAAAGCATTAGGCACTGTACTCTCAGTAAATTGATCCTTGTAGAACTTTACTGCTTCTTCTGCTATTAAGTGATCTTCTTCAATCCAGTTACCAAGGCTATTCTGGATCCTTGATAATTTCAGTCTCTTCCTTCTCCCATTAACTTGAGCATGGAAGAATTTAGTGTTTCTATCGCCATCTTTGAACCATAACATGCCAGCTTTTTGCCTATGCAAGATATTTAATCATTTCAGCTTGGACCTGTCGTAATCTTTGTCTGTTCATCTGTGTAGGATTGACTTCAAATTGACTTTCATGAACCAAGACCACCTTCTCAAGGCTTGCAATCTTTTGGAATATATCCCCATATGTAGCTCTGCTCCAGGTAGATAGTGCTTGCTTAAGCTTCTTTAACTTGTTGTTAAAAATGCAGAAAGGGTTAGCACTAAAATCAGCATTCCAATTCTCCTTCACTACCTCTTTGAAGGTTTTATGCTTTGTCCAGAAGTTTAGAAATCTGAATGACTTCTTAATTGGAGGAGTTTCTATATCACATTTCAGCAGCATCAGGCAATGATCAGACCTAATTTTGGACAGGTGAGTTACCTCCAATCCAGGAAAGGTCTGTTGCAATTCATTATTGCCAAAACATCTATCCAATCTTTTAAAAATACAGTCCTCCTCTGATCTTCCATTCCACCATGTAAATATGCTTCCTTTAAATCTCAAATCTGTCAAGTTGCAGGTATTGATGCAGTGTCTAAAGTCATCTACTTCAAGGAGAGAAACTAGCAAGCCTCCATACTTCTCTTCCTCGTCCCATATCACATTAAAGTCGCCTCCAACTAGCCATGGTACTGTCATATCTGATGCCATTGCATACAAAGTATCCCATAGTTCAATTCTTTTAATGCGATCACATTTGGCATAAACTAGTGTAAGGATGAGCTCAACATGTGTTTCAGTGTAAATCAATCTCAAAGTCAGCTGTTGAGTCATGTTATATAGAATGGTAACCTCAAAAATTTCATCAATAAAAGCCCAAATCTTGTTTGACACATTCACCATAGCCTGTGCCAAACCAATTCTTGCTCTATACCTCTCCATTTTGTGAGATTGTTGCATAGGCTCAAGGATTCCTATGAACTCAAAGTGATGTTTCATGTGCATTGTAATCAGCCTTTCAAATGCTTTCATTGTATTTACTGACCTCACATTCCATATAATGGCATCCATTAAAGGTTTTTGGGTTTGGACAGTGTTCTCCTTGTTTGTACCCCTCCTGTTGGGATAGATGGTTCTTTGACTTGTTTGTTTTTTCTCTTTGTTGCAGATTTAACCTGCTCAATGTGCCTAGGTGATAAATCTCCTTGCTTGGCAACATTGAGAAAGTTTTGGGTTGTTGACTCCTCATCCAGGTCCCTGTTTGCCTGATTACTTTGGCCTTCAATTTCCTTAGTGTTAGCTGTAACCATTAGACCAAATTTTTCCTGTAGGATATTTATCTGTTTGTTACCAGAACTGCTGACATTCTGTTGATGTGCAAATTTTAATGTAACAGTACCCTGCTCTGCAGCTTGTGGATCT